TATGTAATGCAGGGATTTCTTTTGATCCAACCCATAAGCAGAACTGAAAAGTTCTTGTACATGGGAAACAGAATGAAGGCACGGATAGAAGGAATATGGACTTACAGATTGATCTTGCATACTGGTTGTTACATAGATCTAGAAAAGTGTCTTTATGTTCCTCAATGTGCTAGAAATTTAGTTTCTGTTGCAAAGTTGGACGAATTTGGTTTTAATTTTAAGATTGGGAACGGTACCTTTTCTTTGTATAAACACTCATACTATTTTGGATCTGGTACATTAATTGATGGTTTATATCGTTTCAATCTTAATGTTAAATTTGTTGAATCTCTGTTTCATGTTGAGAGTACTATTAGTAGTAATTTGAATATACGTAATGAGTGCTCTGCTTTCTTGTGGCATCAAAGGTTAGATCACATATCCGAAGAAAGGATGATGAGGTTAATGAAAAGTGAAACTTTTACCTCAATTGGATTTTGTTGATTGGGATGTATGTGTGGATTGTATTAAAAGAAAACAAACTAAACACACATCAAAGAATCCAGCCACAAGAAGCAGTCAACTCTTCGAGTTGATACACACTGATATTTGTGGTCCATTTGACATCCCATCTTGGGGTGGTGAAAGATATTTCATTACCTTCATTGATGACTACTCACGTTATTGTTATCTGTATATGTTGCATGAAAAATCTCAATCAGTGGATGTCTTACAGGTATTCATTGATGAGGTGGAAAGGCAACTGGATAGAAAGGTAAAGGTTGTGAGGTCAGATAGAGGTGGTGAATATTATGAAAAATCTGATGAAAGTGGACAATGTCCAGGTCCATTTGCAAAACTTCTGGAAAGTCGAGGCATATATGCATAGTATACTATGCCTGGTACACCACAACAAAATGGTGTGGCTGAAAGGCAGAATCGTACTATCATGGAAATGGTTAGGAATATGTTGAGTTATAGTTCTATACCTATGTCTTTGTGGATGTACGCATTAAAGACCGCTGCATATCTGCTTAATAGAGTTCCTAGTAAGGCAGTTTCAAAGACTTCTTATGAATTTTGGACAGGAAAGAAACCCAATTTAAGACATCTTCATGTCTGGGGTTGTCCAGCAGAAGTAAGAGTGTATAATCCACATGAAAATAAGCTTGATGCTAGAACCATAAGCGGTTATTTCATCAAATATCCTGAAAAATCAAAGGGGTACAGATTCTACTGTCCTAACCATAGTATGAGAATAGTTGAGTCTGGAAATGAAAGGTTCATTGAAAATGGTCAGTTTAGTGAGAGTGGTGAAACACGAAAGGTGGAAATTAAAGAGACACGTGCGAAAACTCCTGTAATTAGTGTATCTTCTCCAGTTGTTGCTCTTCTTGTTGTATCATGGTCACACAACATAAGGAGACAACAAATTAATGTTCCAAACCCACAAGAACAACATATAGAGGATGAACCAGTTGAAAATGTGCAAGTCACAAGTGAGCAAGAGAAATGTGAACTACAAGAGATAACATTAAGGAGGTTTATAAGGCAGAAAAGACTAGCTATTTCAAATGACTATGTGGTTTACTCACTTGAGCATGAATGTGACTTGAGTATTGATGAGGATCCAGTCTTATTTAAGCAAGCCATGGAATGTTACACTTCTGAAAAGTAGTTGAATGCCATGAAAGAAGAGTTAAAATCAATGAGTGACAACAAGGTATGGGATCTAGTCGAGTTGCCTGAAGGTTCAAAACGAGTCGGTTGCAAGTGGGTCTTTAAGACCAAATGTGACTCAAAAGGCAACGTTGAGAGATATAAGGCTAGACTTGTTGCTAAAGGATACACTCAAAAGAATGGCATAGACTATAAAGAGACCTTTTTTCTAGTCTCAAAGAAGGACTCTTTAAGAATTGTTATGGCTTTGGTGGCTCATTATGACTTAGAGCTCCACCAAATGAATGTAAAGACCGCCTTTCTGAATGGTGATTTGGAAGAGGAAGTTTATATGGATCAGCCAGATGGCTTCTTGATCGCAGGTAAAGAAAGTATGGTGTGTAAGTTAAAGAAATCAATATATGGGTTGAAACAGGCTTCCAAACAGTGGTATCTTAAGTTCAATGATACCATCATGTCATACGGTTTTGTAGAGAATACTATTGACCGGTGTATCTATATGAAGGTCAGTGGGAGTAAGTTCATCATTTTAGTCCTGTATATTGATGACATTCTTCTTGCTACTAATGATGTTGGGCTGTTGCATAATGTAAAGGAATTTCTCTCTAAGAACTTTGAGATGAAAGATATTGGTGAGGCTTCCTATGTGATTGGAATAGAAATATTCCGTAATAGATCATAAGGATTACTAGGATTGTCTCAAAAAGGCTACATCAACAAAGTACTAGAGAGATTCAAAAGGGAGACAAATTTAGTGAAATACAATGTCTCAAGAATGAGTTGGAGCAGAAAGCAATGGAATCCATTCCCTATGCATCAATGGTCGGGAGTTTAATGTATGCTCAGACATGCACTCGGCCTGATATCAATTTTGCTGTTGGAATGTTAGGCCGATATCAAAGTAATCCCGGAATGGACCACTGGAAGGCTGTAAAGAAAGTCCTTAGGTATTTACAAGGCACCAAGGACTACATGCTTACTTATAGAAGATCTAGTCAACTGGAAGTGGTTGGCTACTCGGATTCAGACTATGCTGGATGTGTAGACTCAAGGAAATCGACCTTTGCCTACATCTTCTTGTTAGCTGGAGGTGCGATTTTATGGAAGAGCGGAAATGAGTCCATTATTGGTACGTCTACCATGGAAGCAGAATTTGTGGCATACTTTGAGGCCACTATTCATGCTTTGTGGCTGCGGAACTTTGTCTTAGGGCTTGGTATTGTTGATAATATAGAAAAGCTGCTGAGAATGTACTGTGATAATTCCGCAGCCGTCTTTTTCTCTAAGAATGATAAGAATTCAAAGGGAGCAAAGCATATGGACTTAAAATACTTATCAGTGAAAGAAGAAGTGCGGAAACAGAAAGTGTCTATTGAACATATTGGTACTGATTTAATGATAGTGGATCCGCTAACTAAGGGATTGCCCCTAAAACGTTTTCTGGCTATGTTGGTAGAATGGGCATTATAGACAAGTCCTTGTTAGCATGATTGTGTAATTCACATATATGTGTATAGATTGTTTTGCTCATATTATTGTAGACATTTTGGGAATTCAATAAAAGTATTGTTTCTACTTGTTTACTTGTTATCTGAATTGTGTTAATGTACATGTATGGTTTGAGTTTGATAACAGGTTGAGTGTTAAAAACACATTAGAGTTACAGTCTGTAGTATGATTGATTAAAGCTATTTTGATTTGGGTTGGTTCTGTGATACTTGGAAGGAATCATGTCGTCAAATGACTTGTGACCGCCATGATCTGATAAACTTAAATCATTAAAAGATGATGACTTGATATTATCAATGATATACGCACTTACAGTTCATTGAATCTTCAAGTCGTCACATAGGTCAAGTGGGAGATTGTTAGATTATTTTAATAATCTTGTTATAGTGGCCTATGTAACTTATAGCATGACTCTAATTAATGATTTAATGTGATGATGGTTAAATATAAAATATAGAGTCATTGAGGGTATAATTGTAAATATAATTATAAGGAAACCCTCCCCTCTCCCTTCATATAAATTAAAGAGCGGTTACCAAATGAGGGTTACGACATTCCCTAATTTCTCACTTTTCACTATTTCTAAGTGAGCTCACGGTAAACGCATAAGAAACTTTCTCTCAACCATTCGAGAGGAGCTGAAAGAGGAAGGAAGAGTTGGAAAAAATACCAAGGAATCAACGACATCAAATAGAGAGGTAACATCAAGGAACAATGAATTCAGGTTAGTGCTCTCTAAACCCTAAATTATATGAGAACCATATATTGTGTTGTGAGAGCAACGTAATTCAAGATGGGAAAAGGTAATTTCATAATAGTCATTGCATAATAAAAATTACATAATGGGTTAAAGAAAATTCTAACACTTTCCATCATAGTCCTTCGCCCTCTCTACCACCCCATCTTTCCACTTGTCACTACCCACTCCTGGTTGGATAGAGGACGTGAATGAGGATTTACCTAACCTACCCTTAGACCCTGATGTACCACGGACTACCTCCTCAGAATCTGACCCTTCCGAGGAGTACACTCCCTGGATTGAGACCCTTGGAGGTCTTGTTTATTTTGGAAGGAAGTGAGACTGCATAAGAGATTTCACGGGGCAGACTGCCTTTTTGTTTGTTTTGATATTGTGTGATGTTATCCATCTAACATGCAGTAATGTGTAGTATACTTTTCACTTCTTTTATGTGATGTAACTTGAGATTTCACTTGATAATTCTATGTACATTAAATTATGTTTGACTTATGATGTTTTTTTTTTATTATAATGGTGCTAGTATAATATTCTGTTAGTCTTACACAATCGCTTAGAGAATGCGTATAATAGATATTTTAATAACTTAGATTATGTACGGTTAACTCTTTTCAAGAATCATAAACGCCCTCAGTATACATAGTTATATAATATATGTACTTGTTGTATGTGGAATATTGGAATGCTAAGGTGTCGAATGCAAGTTGTAAAATTTGAAGACAAAAGGAAACGTTAAAATTGGATTGCTTGTGGAAACCTACCGTTCATTCTTTGCCACAAATTAAAATGGACAAAGCCAATTAAGTTCCAACTTTCACGACCCTTCTCAAATGTTATGTCTTGAAAATAATATTGTTTAGTAAAGTCTATAAAAGGCCAATGCTTGTACCGAGAGTTAGGATTAATTAAGAGTTGAAATATTCAGTTTTTTCTCTCTTTTTTTCTATTTGCTGTGCGTTTGTTTGTTTGAGAAAAATATTTAGAGTTTAGTTATAATGTCTCACTGATATCAAGCTTTTTATTTAAAACTAGAAAGAAAAATCTCACCGACAGTTAACGCCCAAGAACAATGTTGAAAGAACATTCAAGTTTAATGGTAAGAATGTTATTGCACATCAAAATGAAAATGAAAAATGATGGATGGTTATATTTTTGGGTACAAGTTTAGAAAGAAAAATGAAAATGAAATAAGAAATGTTGTAATAATTAGACAAAATTCTAATACCAAGACAGGTATGACAATTTAAAAAATGCGTTTGGGTCACTTCCAATTGTTGGCAACAATGTGAGCCAAATCCACAACCCTTTGGGAGTAACCCCACTCATTGTCATACCAAGCAATGACCTTGACCATGTCATCTCCCATGACCATAGTCAACGATGAGTCAACGGTTGATGATACATCAGTGCACCTAAAATCTACAGATACTAAGGGCTCATCACACACAGAGAGAATGCCCTTAAGCTCTTTATCTGCACTTTCTCTAAAAGCAGCATTAACTTCTTCAGCAAAGGTCTTCTTGGAGACCTGAACAACAAGGTCCACCACTGAAACATTTGGGGTTGGCACACGAAGGGCAATGCCATTGAGCTTCCCTTTGATGGTTGGGAGGACAAGTGCCACAGCCTTTGCTGCTCCTGTTGATGTGGGCACAATGTTAAGAGCAGCAGCTCTTGCTCGCCTCAGGTCACGGTGGCTTGCATCCAGAAGCCTTTGGTCACCAGTGTATGAGTGAGTCGTTGTCATTGTCCCCTTGATAATACCTGTCATCAATTTCAATTACCATGCTACCCAATATGCTTTTTAATCCCTTTCCAGAGACAAATTTTACATCAAATGAGAAAAAGAGTGTCAATTTAATTATTAACTTAAAATTACTGAGAGAGGTTTGTCTCTTAGTTGTTAGCAAAGCATTAAAAAAATGTTGCAATAAGGTGAATTACCAAATTTCTGATCAATGACCTTTACAAACGGTGCAAGGCAATTAGTGGTGCAGGAAGCATTGCTGATGATGGGTTCATCGGGATTGTAAGCATCAGCATTGACACCAACCACATAGGTGGGAATATCTCCTTTGCCAGGGGCTGTGATCAGAACCTTCTTTGCTCCTGCCTTAACGTGCTTTCCTGCACCTTCTCTGTCCACAAACACCCCTGTTCCTTCAATCACCAAGTCGATTCCCAAGTCCCTGCCACACCATATGCACACTTTACTTTTACAAATACTGGTCGTTTTAGCGAAGAGACGTTTTTATTGAAGAGATCTTGTATCATCTATCACGTTCAAAAATTTCAGAGTTAGTAAGCAATCTGGTCCCTCAAAAAGTGAAAACCTCAATAGTTCTTGACAATTTTTGTTTATAGAAATTTGTCTTTTGGCATGTTAGAGAGTGGGATACAAAGGCTAGAAAGATGAAGAAGAATGAGCATACTTCCAAGGGAGGTTGACAGGGTTGCGGTCAGAGACAACCTTAATGATTTTTCCATCAGCAGAGATTGCATTATCACCAACAGGCTTGACATCAGCCTCAAAGATTCCGAGGGTGGAATCATACTTAAGAAGGTGAGAGGCTTGCTTGACTCCTCCAGTGTCATTTATGGCAATCACATCTAAAGGTGAGTCCTTGCGACCGTGCCAACACCTCAAGAAGTTCCTCCCAATCCTCCCAAATCCATTTATGGCCACCTTCAGTTTTGCTTCTGCTACACCTTTCCTATATCCTCCACTGCTTCCAATCTACGTACATAACACAATCTTGTAAAACATAATCTAAAATTTGTTCGTATTTGTTTACAGTGCCATAGCCATTAAAAAAATGTGCAAAGCGATGATCATGTATCAAAAGTGTGCATTTTTGGTGTAGACATGTGATCCAACATTTCTGTGCATAATAAATATTTCATGAATCTAAGAGGGCCTGACTCTAGTAGAGAAAGAATATTCGATAACAACATTTTTCTATACCCCATGTATCTATGGAAAATGTGGATCTTTGATACTTAGTATATATTATATCTACCAAAGATCAGTCATATAGTTCAATTCAAGCTTTCAATGAGTTACCCCCTGAATTTGATTATAATAATTTATTGTATGCACATTAAGACTTGGCAAGTTTCATTATTTTACAATAAATTAACCAATAAGTAAAACACTTACTGCTGAGGTCTGGAAGGCAATGATCGAATGGAAGTCCTCAGAAATTTTTTTGGAAGAAAAGGGAAGGTAACCTATTGATGAATTTCGAAGGCCAGAGAATTCAGAGAAGCCCTTCCCATTTGCCTGAATAGAGTAAGTAACAATGATAAGCTATTTATTATACAAACAGCTAGGTTTAGTTCAACATAAAGTGACACTACAATTATATGTGCCTTTCATAATGTGCATGTAAATCACACATTGCAAAAAAGAATTAACTTCTTGAACCTGAAGAGCAGGTTTGGCTACAGAGAGAGTAGCCGAAGCCATTATTCAGCTATCAATGGAGACTGAAAATATTTTTATGGAGCAAGTGTAGCAGCAGAGTGGACTTGGAGTAAGCAAAAGGGTTGAAACAAAAATAATTTTCAGGTTCAATAATAGGACCTATTAATTTTAATATGCGACTAAAAGGATGTGTGGTTGTGATTGATGGAGCTGAGTGAGGATGAGATTATGGATAGCCTCTCATTCAAATTAATGGCTGTGATTGGAGCTTTCTTCTTATGCTTGTAAGTCCAATCATTAGGCTTCTCCCTTTTTCCTACTCCTTATTGATAATTGGGCTTGAGCCTCAAATCCTAAGTAGGTCATTTTGATTCCATTGCTTGGGTAATAAAAATCTTGGCAAATTCTACACCCATTTTATCGTAAAACGATTGGCTCTGTTTGTGCGTAGACAAATGCATGCATACACATACTAGTGGATGAATGACAAATTTGAAGGATAAAAATAACATGATTGTATTAACATGTTAAATATATGCTATAAGGTTCTTTAAAGTTAATAGCATGAAAATTTGGATGTTTTATTAATAATTTCAGATAAAAAATAAAATGAAAATTAGGTTTTTGGGTTAAATTTTTATATCACTCATGAATTATGAATAAAATTTGTATAATATCTTGTAGATTTTTTTAAAACTATCCATGCCTTATTTATATATTTAGAAATTAATTTTCACATATATTTCATGAATTTGAAAATTTTAGTGATTTTCGCTTTATTGTTTTAACTTTCCTACGGAATAATTGAAAAACTTTATATAAATGCATGAAATATAATTAAAATATAGAGTAAATATATAAATTACTCCTTAAGAGTGACACTCTATTTACATTTGATTCTTGAATATTTCGCTTTGGATAATTTAGTCCTTGAATATATTAATTTGTTTATAGTTTAGTCTTTTTAGTAACTAACTCTGCTGCAAGAGTGTTAGAATGTACAAAGTAATTTGATTCTCACTTCTATATACAAAATGTATCAAGTGAGAGAGGGGGGGGGGGTTAATACAAGAGTGAGATAAGTAAATTTAGATCATTCAATTATTGACATATAGTTAAGATTAAAATATTTAAAAAACTACATGATCACTTCAAAAACTCACTAGACCTTTTAAAATAAACTCATATGACTTATATATTTTAATTTTAACCATTAATAATGAAATATACTAATCAAAATTTGTTCCTCTCAATCTAACATAAAAAAAAATTCCTATTACTTAATATATTATCACATACACATTTAATTTAAATATGCAATCAATGTGAATATTTTTTTACTTTATCATCCGATCATAGATTGTCATATTAGTAAAAATTAAAAACCACATACATGATGTATTTCAATTTATAGACAATATAAAATATTTTACATTAATAGTATATCAAAATTAAACTTTTCCTCCATCTTTCTATATATATATATATATATATATATATATATATAATACATGGTATTGTTAAAATAAAAATAAAAATTATATAGTAAAATTTTAAATTTTATTAGATAAAAAAATTATTTAAATTTTAAAGTAGTTGTGGGAGGAACAATAACTTGTCACAGTCAATTGCATATTTGAGCAACAAATTCCTTGACTTACTTATGTTTCATAAATATTAATGATTAAATAAGAATAAGTATGATGAAATTATTTGACAAGAAGAAAAAGTGTATTACGATTAGTTTATTAGATACTAAAGTTATATTTTACTTAGTGTCTGTTCTTTTGATTTAAACCATAAAGTATATTTAATCTTTCTCAAGCCAAGTACCACTATCACTATAGTAGACGACAAAACTCTCTTTTTTTAATATTTAAAACAATTGCATTCATTAGAATTTAAATTTAAAATTATATGTTAAATTACAAAAACTCATTATAATACTAATTGATCTTGTGGTTTAAATGTATTTAACTTGAAATCATGTGTTATATATTTTTATATATGGTTTCCCTTGGTTTTATTTTTTTTTATTTTCATTGGTTTTCATCCTTAATTTTTATTTTACATAATCTTTACTATTACTTAGTGATATTATATTAACTACTATTTTAAGATAGTAATTAATGGCATATAATTATATATATATATATATATATATATATATATATATATCCCATTATTAATAATTAATGACAAATCATTTTAAAATAATAGATTTTACAAAAATAAAAAAATTACAAAGATAATCATACTAAGTGATATTTACAAGATTTAATTTATCCTTAAAATTTATAGTTTTTTTGAAAAGAAGGGGTTTTCGTTTTATCACAACCTTGGAAAAAACTTTTTGCAAACTTTTTAAGAAAATAATTTTTCTAGCTTAAGAAAAAAAATTAAAACCAAGTTTTTTTTATTTTAAAAAACGTATTCAATTACCATAAAATGTTTTAAATGTTTCCAAAGAAAAAATATCTTTAATTCTTTTCTTCAAGATCTTTAATCTTGTATTTAAAAAATTATACAAATGGCAACTATAATCAAGCATTTAGCGGTTTTGCCCAATTCTAACAGATTAGGATCCTATAAATGATGATTATGGTCTTAGACCAAAATGAGTATAATGAAGCACTTATAAGTTTCTCCTTGGGGAATTTTGGTTGCTTTAAAAATAAAACTAGTTAATGACAAAGTAGTAGTACTCACGGACCTTCTTGATGGAGAATGTCATTTTGCGGGCAATAGGAACCCAACACAAACGTCACATATTGGACCTGATACTACTAATCGACAAATGGTGAAGCTTATGGCCATTCTTTACTTGGGTTCTTGTGCTTTTGGGTTTATCTGCTTTTGGGTTCAAAATTTGGCCACAAATCCAAATTATAGTACGGTTTTTTCGTTAGACAATCAATGTTCACTTGAAGAGGCTAACCTAAGCTAAATCTTGTGATTGATCAGATTTGATGGAAGTTCAAAGCCATAGTAGCCTTCAACAGGGGATGTCTAGAACTTGGTACTGAGACCCTTGATGGACATGTCGAATAAATTTAAACCCCTTTTGTGTAGGTTTGGTGGTTATTATTGCTATTCTTTCCATGCCTATCCACACTCATTTCATTCAACAAAATAGTGGTAGAGCCATCCATAAAGTGATTCAAACTATGAGGTGTTAATAAGAGCATTGCAATTTTTCACTCTTCCTCTTTGCTACAAATTCTCAAATCGAAATTATTTTTTACTTTAATGAAACCAGTTTTGACAGGAGATTGGGGTTGGACTGCATCTTTGCTTTCTCTCCTCTTTTTAAACTATATATATTATGGTGCAAGAAGCCTTAACCAGTTAACTTAACCGAATAATTGGGTCCTTGTTGGCATGACCAAGCGTTCAATCAAACAGAATAAATAAATAAGTAAAGCGAAGGTGCCCTACAAAGCTTGCCTTTATTCTTATATTTTTTGTAACCCAAATTCGGTACTTAATTTTTCTTTCACATATCACTCTCACTTATTGCTTCTTTATCTAATTATAAATTATTATATTAATAAAATTTATTATTTTTTATTATAATTGATTTAAAAATATTGAACTCTATTTTGAACGTTTTATTGTTGGTCGAGGTCAACAAATTCTCGACAGCAGCAGTCAATACAAAAGGTTAGGCTTGTGAAGAGAGAATATCCCAGAGGCTGAAATAATGCATGGCACTGATATATAAAGGATTTTCTAATTTAAATAAGTGGGTGGAGTTATGGAAGATCGAACATCGTTTTTAAGCAATGCTTCCTTTGGAATTAAATTTTAAAGAAAAAAAGATATAATTCTTTTTATAAATCTTTTAGTTAAAGTAAACTAATAAATTTACATAAATTTAATATGCTAATAAATTATTTACTATTATAAATATTATTAAATTTTTATTTTAAAAGGATATTCATTTTCTCTTTTTCTCTTCTCTAAAATTTAATTCTTGATAAACATACTTTGTTATTGGGTGCAACGATTATCTCAGAGCATTCGAGAAAGGGGTAGATTGCACAGTTAGCTCAGCCACGATAAATGTTATGGAAAGGAAAGTGATAAGGCCGCAAGTGACCTTTAAATTTAATATTAGTGATAACAAATAACTTTTTGTGTAATGTAGGATTATCATTAAAATAAATAATTAAAAATATATTATATGAATAATTTTAAATTTAACGAATTTTACAAAGTATAAATATTATAATTATTCATAATAAAAATTTCATCATATCAAATATAATTAAAATTAAATTGTAAAAAGTTTAAAAATAAATCCATAATATAAAGAAAACTATTTAACATGTTGAAAAAAAATAAAAAGTTAATCTAAAGAGCATTCTCATCTGAGTATACTTTTAAAAATATTTTTATTTTAAAATTAGTAGTCACATTTATATATAAGTATTACATTATTTAATCAGAGAAACTAAGAAGCTAATTAAAGACTTGTTTGTTTATTTTTTAAAATTTATTTTATATTTATAGTTTACTTTTTAAAAAATGTTTTAAAAAAAATAATATCTACTTTTTATTTTTAGACTAATTTGATTTTCTACATTCATTTTTTTTATAATCCATGTTCTTTTTACAATGTTCAATCTACTTCTCTCATTTACTTGTTTTTATCCCATCATAAAAATTTGTTTTGAAAAATTATTCTACGAAGTAGGATGAAAAATCCAAAAGACAAAATCACACTGAGACAAGTCACCAGATTTATAATCTAGTGACCTTTGCCAGTTGCAACAAGAAACTTGGTGTATAAGGATCCACAGAACTAGTAAGTGGTATGTTATCCATTGCTGGATAATAAAATAAACTGATTTTTTTTCACTCCAGAGAATAATATTAATGTATTTTTTTTTTCAATTAATACACATAATTCTATTATTTTTTATCAGTTCTATATTTTTATCTTCTAATTTTTACATTATTTTTTTCAAATTCAATCTTCTCAAAATAATTATTTTCAAAATTTATTTTTCATTAAACTTTTCTTTTTTGTCTCAAATCTTAACTACTACTTGTACTCTCAAATTATTTTTTAATTTTTTAAAAATTAAATTTGTTCCTCCTAAATTAAAATTACATGTAAAATTTTGCTTTTTTAAAAAAAATTTAATTTATTGTATTAGAATTTTTAATATTTCCTCTCAACATTTTTTAATGTATATATTAAATTTTTATTTAAATTATAAAATACTCATATGTTATACCAAATACTTGCTAGTTTTATTCGAATGAACTGAAAATGACCTTTGAGGCATAAAAAAATAACTTGCACAGTAACAAATCATGTTGCATGATTATTATTTGGATTTTAAAATTCAATCATTTATTCTGCCAAGAATAAAATTCAATTGTGCAGTGGGTATAATTGATTTTGATAAAAAGTAAGAACTTATAGCATTTTTTTTAACAATAAACGATTTTGTATGAGACCCAGAAAACATACCTATACTTACATTTTAAAAGTAATTTTATTTTACTATTTAAATAAAATCATTTTTTAATCACAATTCTTTAAAATTAATTCTATTTTTACAATTATGCTTTAGTCGATGCAATCCACAAAATTCTCATAATTGTTGTTTTTCAATTCTTAATAAATTGTGTGGCGAATTGCAAAAAAAAATGGTTGAGAAGAGTGGTTATGAATATCGAAACAATAAGCTTTGCTTACACTGAAAGCTGTCCCCAAATGCTTTTGCGTTGTAATAAAAATGAAAGTTACAATGAAAGTGCCATTTAATATTAATAGAAAAGGAAAGGCACACATAATGTAATGCACACTATTCCTCTATATATAGTTCCCCTTTCAACGATTTGGCTGCAAAAAAAAGAAACTGTTTAATACACTTTCATTTGAGTCCTTCTTGACCCCATTTCACTGTTCTCTCCAATAGACTATAATCTGACCACAAACATGGCAAAAGAAGTGGACTTCAAGGTCAACCTACGTATTATTAATTTCTTTTTTTTATTTTTCTTTCTTTTTCATCTTCACCTTACCAAATAATGGTTGAATTGAAATGAATTTCCTTTGAATTTGTTCCAGAATATTGAATTGAAGGTGTCAGCTAACTGTTGTGAAGGATGCAAGAGGAAAGTTAAGAAGGCACTGAGAAACACTGAAGGTACTAAATACAATACAAGGTGGTTGAAATTTGTTCACTTTTATTGCTTTCTGACGATGATTGGTTCACTATGTTTTAGGTGTTTTGAACATATACATAGACCCCTTGCAGCCGAAAATAACAGTATTAGGAAATGTGAACCCACACATTTTGATTAAAAAGCTTCTAAAAGTTGGAAAACGTGCAGAACTGTGTAGCTATGAGAAAGTTGAAGCTGAAAAGGAGGAAGAGAAGGAAAAACAGGACACAGTGTGTGAGCAACAAAAACATCCTCATGGATGTGACATTAAAATTGAGAAGATTAAGGATGTCACAAAAGGAGGCAAAAGAAAATCTTCAGAAGAAGACAACAAAATGACTTCAAATACTCCTAATCCTCAAGAAATGAAGAAAGACCCCTTTTTACCTCCTCATCAAGAAGTGAATTTCATGGTTCATCCAAGCATGCACCCTTATAGTAACATTAAAAATCACCCTCAGTATTGTTACATTGTCCAGCCTAGCCCAGTTGCAATACCCTATTATGCAATTCCTTCATATTCAGCTCCTCCTCTGCCTCAAGCTAAAGCTAGTGTTGAAGAGTACTACCACTTTGACATGCCAAGATTTCAGCCCCCATTTTTGAGACCAACAGTGCAAGTAGGGGACTATTTCAGTGATGAAAACACCATGGGATGCCATGTGATGTGAATGTTAGCTATCCCCATTATACACCATATTTGTGGCTTAACATAGAACACAAAAAATCATACTAGCTAGTTTCATGTTCTGTGCCATTGTTCTTGTAGGAAGCTGGATTAATCTTTTAATTAGGTAGTATAAGTGATAATTTGTCACTTCCCAGCCATAAAGTCTAATTGGCTTATCACAGTTTTGGTCACTTATCGTTATGTTCATTTGACTCAAGTTAATTGTCAATTCCAAAAAGAGAATATAGGTAACTGTTTGAATACCATGATTTCCAAAATCGGATAGGATTGGAGTAGCTGCTTCGAATGTTCGATTAGTTGAATTGAATACCATTATATTCCATATTTTGATCGAATTGAAAAACCTTTCTAATTAGATGGGTTATGAACAGGTCAAATTGGTGGTTTAATTATTCAGATTTATTTATTTTAGTTATGTATTCTTTTGTGTTGGCATATGGCTTATATAATATAAGATCTGGTTAAGTAGTATTCTAAGAAAAGCTTTAAAATATTAAAAATTATGTTAAAAATATATTACAAATTATGATAAAAATATATTGATAATTAAGCGGCAATCCTGAAATTTGAACTCACCTTATACTCCATGTATCACGAGACACCATTACCCCTAATTAGGTCAAAATTAGTTTATATATTACTTTTTAAATAAGTTAAATTTATACATTTCAATTAATAACTTATATTTATCTGATGATTTTACTTTTATTAATAATTTTTTTAATTTTTAATACATGTAGTATTATTTTTTATAGGCTTAAATATGAAAGTAGTATTTATATTTATCTATATTTCTATTTTTAGTCTCTCTATATATATTTTTTTAATAAAAGTGGTCATTCCATTTATCCGCAATTTTTATTTTAGTTCTTTCAACATAGGACGTTACAGAATAAATAAATTTTATGCTTAAATATGAATGTAATTTTTATAATTATTTATATTTTTGTTTTTGGTTTTTTTTCATTTTTTATTAAAAATATAAAAATTAAATCTTAAAATATAAAATATAAAATATAAAATAATTAAATAATTTTAAAAATATACACATAAATTAATCTGAACTACATATTTTTTTTTAATTAAAACACATATTTTTATTTCAAAATATCAAAATTAATTCTTAAACTATAAAATAAATTTTCTTAATTAAGTATTCCCTCTCTTGGTCAATTCAAGAGGGTTATTTTTATGTTAGAACTTTTTTTTTAAGTCATGCATCTAAAATCTCTCTTAACCTATTAGAAATATATTTCTCTTTTGTGTATATATACTTTTTTCCCCTTGTTTGTAACTTTTTATAGTAAAAACTAATTACATATATAAATTAATTTTATTTTCCTCAAAGTAAATAACATAAAAATTTGTAATTTTGGTATTAGGCCAATAATTCATGCTTGTAAACGTAGAACAACATAGTTGTAGATATATTTTTTGTTTGAAATGTGTGTATCCATAAAAGTTACTTTATTTTATTTAGGGTTTCACTTAACTCAATATTTTATATTTTATCATTTATTTTATGTAACATTTTATATACTATTACAAAAATATATTTAATAATTACGATTTCAATTACAATATTAATTAATTGCAAATTAATATTTTTGTCGCTTTATAATTGTTACTATTTTAAAAGCATTTAGTGAATAATCATCCTTTTGTGCTTGCTTCTATGCTTTTATTCAGCATTGTGTTCCTTTTTGGATTCCGATGGAGGCTAGTTTTTATATATTACTTAGTTTAAAAAAAAAAGGTTTAGAGTTAGATTTAATTTGTTATCTAATTAATCACTGAAGAGAATATGTGTGGAATATGCGAGTATCAATATTCATTCTATATTACAACAAAAGTAAACACTGTCAATGCCACCCTAACTGTGCTATTATAACGTCACAAAGAAGCCATTATATAAAAAGTATCACTTTATCATGTTTACTAAACTACTGTCATATCAAATTTTTCAAAAAATAATTAAACTAGTAATTCTTAATTTTAAAGTAGAGTTAGGTTTAATTTTGAATTTATTTTCTAATTGATACGTTTTAGTTTATAATTATTAAAATATCATCTTATTTATTATTTTTTAATTTTTAGGAAATGCTAAAAGAAAATAGAATACATTTATCTTATTCTTTTGTTTTTTTAAATTACTAAAACTAAATAAAAATAATAATCTTATAATTATTAATAAAAATATATTAAAAAAATTAAGTTATCAAATACTGTATTTGTCGTGACACTAAATTAGAGATGAGTTGTGTGATGCAATCAATCTCAATATATTACTGTGGGATGGGGATAATGACTCCGTAATATGCAGATTTACACTTCTTTTTTTTTTATTGAATTCGGATACTATGCAGTTTTGGAGGAAGCTTGCAACATGCAATATAAATTCGTCAAAGTAAAATAAAATTTGCTTAAGTAAATTTAGTAAAAAGTAATTTTGGCTTGAAACGAAAAAAATTGCTTAAGCGAATTAAGTAAAAAAGTGATTTTTGCTTAAGTCCAAATTGGTTGAAAAATAGTTGTATTATTTATATATTTTGAAACACTTAAATTTTTGTTGTATGACTATAAAGTGTGACCACATGATTTTGCACAAATATTTTTCAACTTTTCTACAGTTTAAAAAGGAAGAAAATGAAGTTTTGAAATTTTTTGTAATTTTAGTTTAAGCAAATTTTTTGAGTTAAGTAAAAATCACTTTTTTACTAAATTTGCTTAAACAAATTATTTTGACTTAACTCAAAATCAGTTTTTGCTAAATTTTTATTTAAGCGAATTTAAATTGCAGGCTGAGTTCTCTCAAAAACAGCAGAAAATTCAGATAATATTTTTATTCTACTTCCCAAGCTTATATTTATATGTTTTTTTAACGAACAAACTTAACATGCTTTAAATTTATCTCCTTTCTATGAGTGTAAAGCTAAAAGAAAAATTAAACAAGGTAAAAAAAAAACTGAATATATTTTATTTTTAATTATATTTAAAATAAAAATATTGTAATTATGATGATATAACTTATTTGATTAAATGTTTTTATTATCATGTCAAATAAATATATTATGTTTAATTTTTATATTACTAAAATTGAGAAAAAATATTTTTATTTATTAACGCATTCAATATAATTTTAAAAATTGAAAAAATATGACTAACAAAAGAAAAGTGAAAGAGGATAGATATTCAATGCTTCTCCTTTAAATTCACGTAACAGTAACATGAAATGACTAATAAAAAATAATTAGACTTGATATAAACAAAAAGTAAATAAAAATATTTTATATTATTAAAGATATAAAAAATTAAAAATAAATGTAAATAAATAAATGAAGGTGTTAAAATTATGATTTTGAAAAAAATTCCTCTAATTATATATATGCATACTTTTACAGTTTACTACCAAGCTATTGTTGTGGGCTTGTTGCCTTCTCTTTCCTACGGCCCATTAGTCCATTTCCATGGCTCTAATTCTCTTTTTTAAGGCCCATTTAAACACCTTGACTGGATAAACTGACTTTTGACATCCCGTTCTTGCTAGCCCTACGATGATGCCGTGATACTTTATTCAGTTTATATTTGATCAGCTTGAAATTCAATAGGTTGGAAATTTCCTTCCTCCTCGTTTCTTTTACAGCTGCAAAAATATTTTCATTATAATTAATTTAATTCTTCAACTGGATATAATATGTATCAAAGTGATAAAAATTTAATAATTTTAAAAAATAATTTATTTTAAAATAATAAAAACTATATTAAATATTATAAATTCTATATAAACAAAGATATTTACAAAAATAAAAATAAAAATTTATACAAAATAATAATAAAAATTTATAAAAATAGAGATTCACAAAGAATTTAAAAATTTATATAAAATAATAAAACAAATTTAAATAACAAATTTTATTTATAAATATTAGAATAAAAATAATAAAAAATAATAAAATCATTATAATAAAAATTATAATTCACACATTATTTTAAACAATCTTAATATAAATAGCAAGTTGTAAAAAGAGTAATTTTATTAAATACTTCACTTACTGGATACAGTACTCTAATTTATATATAAAAACTAATTAATTATATAAAAATTTCTAAACTTTCAATTCACTAAAATTAAGCTTAAAACAAATCATATCTTGATTATAAAGTATTGGTGGATGGATGAAGTGGATTTTCAATAGTTATGTATTAAATTTTTTGTAAAAGCACAAACATTACAAAAAAAAAAAAAAACTAATTCAATATTTTTCTATAATCTAAAAAAAAATTAAAAGAACTGTGATATATAACATATATATATATATATATATATATATATATATATATATATATAAAAGATTAAACTGCAAAAGGATTGAATCTACCTACATCTTGTCTATTATTTATCGATTGTTGTATAAAAAGAAAAAATCATTTCATCTAACATTTAAAGTTTGTAGAAGAATTTTTTTTTATTTGATTTTAAAAAGAATAAAAAAATGTTTTAGTCTTTTAACAACTATTTTTTATAAAAACAGTTTATAGGTGAAAAAAAATATTATTATAAATTATTCTTTAAAAAATTAAAAATAGAAAATTATTATTTTAAAAAGTTAAAATAATATAAACTATGTATGCAGTAGATTATAATAATTATGTTAAAATAAATTTTTTATATTCTATAAATATATCATTCATCAATGTATTGTTATATATAATTTTTAAACAGTTAAAAAAATATAATTTCAGTAAATGTAAAAATATTATTATATCAATAAAGAAAACTCATTTTTTTATATAATTGTTAATTTGCTTAATAAATTTATTAAATATAATGTTAACAATATTAAATTATAATTTAAAAAATTCTTACCTTAACAAACATCAGAATCAACTTAAAATATAGATTTTATGCACTCTCATTTTAGTTTAACTATTTAAATGTAAGAGTTTTGTTATATTTTTAAAAATATTTCTCAATAATTATAATCCTCTTAATTTACAGGGTATTATTAATGAAAATTTTAAT